TATCTCAGTTTCAACCTTTCTTAATATTATGCAAATCGACATGGAAGTTTGGAAACAGTAAATTAAAGCGAAAATTTCATTAAATTCATAAAGAAATCGATCCCCCAATTTATATGATTCAGCATGTGCCACCAGTTGTCCTAGTAAACGATATAGAGTAAGAGACTACGATAGAATAGGCGGCGTTAGCTCAACCTCTTTTGCCTATTTCGGCGTATTTTGCGGCCACTCGTGTGCAAAAATAATTTATCTGTGTACTTTCATTTCAGATATTTAGATTATATCATAAATATATATTTTATTGTTTGATATTCATGGTGGTGATTGGTTAATGCTAATCAAAAGAGTTGGTTTTCAAACAGAAGGATGCAGTAAATGGGATGCCAAGTACCATAATGTCAGTCCAACAATTTATGGACCCACGGGCATCGGCTGCATTAGATGTCAACGAACCTTCGGTGTCCGACGATAAGACTCAAGAATTGTCAACAGCATCACAAGAAAACGCCATGGAAGTCGTCTCGAATGAACGCGACCATCGGATGGTTCAAAGTATTCCGGGAAAGCACGTTTCGATCGACGATGGTGGTACCGATCAATCATCTCAAAGCTGGGGGTTACTCAAGAGTCCAAAGCTAGATCAGTCCAAGAGTGAAGAACAAGGCTCTGAAGTTCCTTTTAGGAAGGCTAGGGTGTCTGTTAGAGCAAGATCAGAAGCTCCCTTGGTGAGTAATACAACTATGTAGCACAATTCTTATTACATATGTATATGCAGACACACACAATATTTTATGTTAAAGACTGAAAAAATTAATTTTTTTGAGGATGACTATCCGATCAATCCCTCGGTGCATCCCTGTTTATATGTATCCTGACACTAACATCTAATATTTCTGGGTTCAGATAAGTGATGGATGCCAATGGAGGAAATATGGTCAAAAGATGGCAAAGGGGAACCCTTGTCCTCGAGCCTACTACCGTTGCACCATGGCGGTCGGCTGCCCGGTCCGTAAGCAGGTGCAAAGATGTGCGGATGATAAAAGCGTTCTAATAACAACATACGAAGGGAACCACAATCACCCTCTTCCACCAGCAGCCACAGCTATGGCTAACACGACGTCCGCCGCAGCAGCCATGTTGCTATCGGGTTCAACCAAAAATAAGGACAGCCTACCAAGTTCTGCCTACTTCCCTTCATTACCATACTCATCGTCGATGGCCACCCTCTCGGCCTCCGCCCCGTTTCCCACCATAACCCTTGACTTAACTCAGGGCCCGAACGCCGTCCCATTCTTACGCCCACCACCTTCCACAGCTTCGTTCCCTTTACCTTTGCACGGTTATCCGCAGCTTTTAGGTAACTCCATGTTCGCTTCTCCCAAGGTACCTCCATCACCGACAATGCAGTTAGGGCATCGCCCAGCTTCCATGGTCGAAACAGTCACCGCATCCATCGCCTCCGATCCGAACTTCACCGCAGCACTAGCAGCAGCTATTTCGACCATTATGGGAACGCCACCGAGAAACAACGGAAACAGTAACGTCGACAACGATGAAAACAACACTTCCTCCAATGGGGTACCTGCTGCGCCTGCCCTTGCAGCACCGGGGTCACCGCCGCAGGCTCACCAGTCTTGCACCACTTTCTCGACCAAGGCATGCAGTAACAAGCCAGGCTGATTAATTTTAATTTAGGGTATTGCTTACCATCCTCAGGATAATGGTCCCCCCCCCCTTTTTTTGCATAACCTTTTGCTAATGCTAGGTATAATTAGGCCGTTGGAGAGGAAGAAGGCCCCCCATGCACCTCTTTTATGATCGTATAGAAGAATTTTCATACAAACAGTCTATTGATAGTTGGTGAGTGAGTCAATCGGCCTTGCAGTTTCAATGTTTTTCCATGCTTACAGCCTTAAGAAAAGTTTTCAGATACTTATATAAAATAGATAATTATTACTGTAGAGAATATTATATATATGTTGTTACATGCAGTTTAAGTATAGCGAAAGCTTAGAGTGGGGTGTAAGAATGAATTGGTGGAAAAACATTTCAAGTATTTGTTTTTGTTGGGGATTATTCTGATTTTTTACATTAATTAAATCATTTTTAAGCTACGAAGAGATTACATATGTACAGTGGATTAGTACTTTGCAGAATTATATATGGCAAATAATATTAATTAATTAGATTCCTACGTTTTCGTTATGTGAATGTACCTAAACGTTTGAAGTTGGGTCCAAAAATAGAAAACTGAAGTCATATTTGACCCAGGCTTAGTTGATATGTACAATTTTGCTTTAATTTGTTAAACCTTTACCTCGAATAGAGAATTAGAGATATTACCGGAGCAGGTTTCGCATGGAACTGTTTTATTTTACACTTAACTGAACATAGATAAATATAGATTTTATAGGGGATGGAAAATGGATGATGATAAAAATTAAATTTATTATAGACGATGGAATACATTCTCATGCGACGGATCTTTTAACATTCTCATGCTCCTCTCCTTTTTCAGAGTTAGTTTAGCTAATCAGTCAACACATTTGTTTACTTCGACTTAAACTTAAAAGTTAATCTAATCATTACTAAAATTTTTGAGTTATATTTTACAATTCGATTTGAACTTAAATTTTTTTTAGTCGAGTCGAGTTTATAAAATTACAACTCGAAGCTAATTTAAATTGAAATTTTCAAATCGAATTAAATAAAAAATTGATTTTTAAGTCTAATCGAATTTTACTCCCCTCTAACCTAAACCTCCACCTCGAGTCCTTTCATTCTTCCTCGTCTTCTTTAAAGCTAAGCTTCCTTTAAATTTACAAGTTACCACCTTTCTTAACCTTTCTCGAAGATTGAGGATACTTTTGGAAGAAATTAGGTAAGACATTTGCATTTGCAATATGAAGTTTCACGAAAATTATTATATTTTATTTTCATTTTGGGGGGTTTTGTCATGGAAGATTCTTCAAATATGAGTGACACGTGACATTAAGACAAAAAGGAAGAGAAATTGAAATTGAAATTGTTGGAATGAAAAAAAAGAAGTTAAATTAGTAATGTTGATGCTTGTTTATTTATTTTTGAAGTTATTTATGTTCGATTATTATTTATATAAATTTTTAATATCATATTAATTTATTTATTTTAAAAGGGATTATATTCGTTCATTTAGTGTTCGTGAAAATATCTGTAAACATATTCATTTAACGTCCATGAACACGTTTATTTAACATTCATTTAATATTTGCAACTAACTCCCTCTTTTAACCTTTTTATTTTGTAAGTCAAAGAAGAATGATGAAATTATGTCATTAGTCCTTAAATTCATTAAACTTCACGCTTTAAATTCTAAAATTCATTTTATATTCAGTTTAATTTATACCTCCATCAATATTGAAAATATATATAAAAAAGAAAAAGATAACTGAGTAAACTAGTTATATAAACTAGTCGATAAACAAGTATGCTTGTAAAAATGAATAAACCAAATATCATATATATTTATAAAAAATTGTTTATACTTATTTTTTTAACTTAAAAAATAAATATAAATAAATGATCCATAAATAATTCATCAAATGTCCCGTTCAGCGACACTCTAATTGTTGAGTATTTACCAGAGGTGGAGGGTTTATAAGAGTAATGGTTTTGGTAGGAAGAAAAAGTACGGGAAATCATTATTATCATATTTAATTTGTTTTAGATGATTTGTTGACGTGAGTTTAATTTGAAATTCATTTCCTTTGATTTTAGGTTAGTTGATGAGGAGGAAAAATTCATCCAAGGCAAAGTACATTTTTTACTTGGATGCTTTTTTAGGGTAAAGTATAGTAATGTCACTTAACTTTTCTGAAGCTTTCATTTAGGTCCCCAACTTTTAAAACTTGCAATACAATCCTCCAATATTTAGTCCGTTTGCAATATGGTCCCCGACCTTTAACTGCCGTTAGTACGTTTGCAATATGGTCACTGAACTTTTCAGGTGCTTGCATTTAGGTCCCCTGACTTTTAAAACTTGCAACACAGTCCTTAATTTCATTATAAACCCTAAATTCCTTTTCGATCTTGAATTTCCTTTTTTGCTTCTCTCTTCTCATTTCCAGCGTAACTTTTCAGTCGGGGATGCATGGGAAATTCTAATCTAACTTTGAATTATGTGGAGATGTTGACTTGAATAAGGGTCCATTGAGAGAAGACAAGACCAAGGGACTATCGGGACCATCAACGATTCAAGATGTAATGTTAGATACAAGTCATCTAAGGTGAAACATAGATGTTCGATGAAATGATTGTGAGAAAAAAATGGTTTTAGAAATGCAGAGTTGACAAATACTACTAAGATGAACTAAATATCATTGTTGAAAGTCACCTACAAAGCTGGAATTATTTTGTATAAATGACATATAATAATTTCTTCTTTTAACCTTGTGGTTAAAGATTTTCCAACATATGATCAAATATAATTATTTTAGAATATAGGGTTCAAAATATAATTGAATTATTTTGGAATTTGTGGTTTAGAATAAAATTGAAGATTGTGATGTAAGTTTTAAAAGTTGGGGGACCTAAATGTAAGTGCCTGAAAAATTCAGTGACCATATTACAAACGTACTAAATGCAGTGTAACGGTCGTGGGCCATATTACAAACAGAGTAAATGTTAGAAGATTGTATTGTAAATTTTAAAAGTTGAGAGACCTAAATAAAAGCTTTAGAAAAGTTTAGTGACCATTATTATACTTTACTTTTTTTTATTTGATAAATCTAGAATAACTATGTTCATAAATAACTTTTAATTTTTTAATATTATTCTCCTAATATAAATGATGTTCGAATAATAATAATATACTTGGATTTTTTTAAAACTTGGTAAAATTTTAGATTCCCCCCGAATTCTCGCCCTACTCCTTCTCAGGTTTTTATTTTACTATTAAATCTTTGTTTACTTTAGGGTTTTTTTAATATCTTTTTTGGTTTTGTTGACGTTTATGAATTCGAGTTGTTTTCCTTTTGGAGATTGTAGCCTTGATTGCTTTCTTTCAATCAGCTAGTCAAACAAATTTCCTCAATCTTTTCTCTTTTCCTTTATGAATTTGTAAATTGATTAACTTCTTTTATGAATTTTGATTTGGAATTTAGATTACAGCGGCTTATAGAAAGAAAGTATGGGAGTCCCATCCTGACTTGTTTCCAATTCACCAAAAGCCTTCGGCGGAGTCAAGTTGAAGTTGGTAAGCATCCATATGCCTTCAAACATTTCAACTCTTTTTAGTATATTAGTGATGCGTTTGGTAGGGAACCGTGAAGAAGCAGTTGGAGCGTATTGAGACAAGTTTAAGCATTTTAGAGCTTGATATGGACAAAGAAAGCATGTCTTCAATGTAGAGAGTTGAGAGATTGGATTACAGCAGTTTAGTGATTGCCAGCAGAATAATTCTACTCTTTCTATGATCTATTACTTGGTGGAGTCTTTCTTGATTCTTTTTTTCTATTAAGATTATTTGGAGGGAGGGAGCTGGATTGCTTAGGGGTTTGTATTTGGTTATATTCACGGTGATTAGAGTGGTATGATCTGGTGAGCAATTTAAATCTATTTGTATTTTATTTCTTTCTTGAGTTTTTTAGATTTATGTAACTGTTGAACCTGTTAAATCTAACTGTGGATTTGGGAGAGAAACTGAATTTTACCTGATAAAGGCTAGGTTTAGTCTTTCTAAATAGTATTTTCACTTTCAAAGAAATCCATCATTGTAGACTGGCGTTTTAAGTTGTTTACTATCTAAATTATGGTACTTCTTCTGGAGGTTGCCATTCTGGACGAGAGCCAACATACTGGAAAACAAATAGTGAATGCAGTAAGAATATTAAGTCTTTCCACTTAGTTTAGTTTGCCTATCGCACCTGAACCTTAATTTTTCTTCTTCTTCTGGGAACACTTGAATGAGATAATAGTTGGATATTTCTAATCATGTATTCTGCAATTTAGAAATAATTCAATTGTGTTTACGGTTGTGAGAAATCTAACCTATACATGTGCATATTTTGCAGATTGCAGAAGCTTATACATGTCTACAGTGTGGTAATTCTCCTACATTCATATGCTTTTGAGATAATATTAAGAGTGCTCCGAGAAATTATGGTTTGCAAACTCTTGAATAGGCCAGTGTCCAGTTTAACATGGGAAAAAATCTCTTGTTTAATGTTCTTTAAAGGTAGCACATTTTGTGGAGGCATGATAGGTGGTTGTCTGAACCTAGAAAACTATAGATCATATGTCTTTGCCTCTTTATGCTATCTCCTTAGCTGCTAAAGTTGCTTTGATTGGTGTATTTATCTCTTCTGGTGTTTCTTGGAGATTCTTAAAAAATATTCTATTTGCATTGCATGCCTTGTTCTCCCGACTCACCTATTACTTAAGTGTTGATAACTAGCTCAGGCTTGCTTTAAAGACTTGTGCAATGATTTGAGCAATAAAAGTAAATAACGTGGATCTCAGAGGGATATGATGGGTTACAGTTTCATCACTAGCTTCATGGTGGCAACAAACTGGAATAAGTTGCTTAGAGCTGCAATGAATTGCCGTAAACATACTAAGCTAGACATGTTCATGATTTGAATGTGAGCATACCTGGAGTGCATTTGATCAGGTTCACACCAAAAGACATAGCTTTTGTCTCAGAAGAGACTGACAGAATGTCAACTATGAAAGGAGCCTGAAAAGTTGGTTTCCTTTGACCTTGCGCTGTTAGGAAGTATTTAAATAACTGGCTTTCTGAGTCCTAGAAGCAGGCCATGCTAGAAGATGATGTAACTTTCATTCCCATTAGATTGTGTTCATTAACCTAATTCTTAAGAAATATGTAATTTGATTTGAAAATTTCCAAATTTTAGTGCTATTCATGATCATTTTCCTGATTTAGGAGATCATTATATAATGATGTTGAAAATTTTTATGGAGATGATTTGGATGAACATGACAGTGAAGAAAAGAAACCTAGAGAAATTATCACATTAGCTACTTAGAGTGAACTATTGGATGTTTATTCCTGCTACCAGAGGTGTCACCACTGATGATAATCTTGATTTTATTGATGATGGTTCGGCGTACTAGTTTCTCTCTCATGTGGCTCATTAAACCTGTAGTAAGCAATGAAATATCTATTTCCACAGGATATTGATGGAAAGAAAAAAGTAATTTGGTGTTGTCAAATACCAATATTATATTGTAGTTTGCTGTGCCATATATGATTATGAAGGTATTACCATGTCACCGATATTATTTCAATTTAATTCTCTTTAGATGGCAATTCTTTAGTTTGTGAGCACATCTTTCTGCATCAATCACCCTCTTTGACACTATCCAGCTCATACCCTCTTCCTTCTTTCAATTTATGTGCCCATTTTTGTTTCCATCTTCTGGTACATGATTTGTTGGTGTTTATGGATTTGCTTTATTAAAAATTGTGATATCTTGATGATGGTTTCCAGCTCTTTTCTTCATTTACTTTTATAAATTAGTCATTTGTTATCGTAAATTTTCATTATCGTAAATTTTCATTCCCACTAGATGGGAATGGATCTAGTAGTTCAGTATACGTGTCTGCCCTATCATTACAATTGGTTGTATCTAGCCTATATTCCTCTTTGCATCCTCAATAAACACCTTGTTTTATTATTTGATAGGTTGCTACCATCTACATCTTTTATGTGGTTTGTTAAATTGGTTTTATCCTGAATCCTAGGATTCCACTAAATGGGATTGAATCTGATGATCGGATGGCTAGAAACTGGTTAAGGATTAGTCACTTTGATGTTGGTGCCAATATTCTTGGACATAACTTATGGAATTGAGTTCGCAAACCTGATTTCGAATGCTTCTGTCTTATTGCTAATTACATTAATGTGTACAATTATATTTACATGCTATTCAAATTCATCTGAATGATTGTCACAGGTTCAGGAGGAGGAGGTTCGTTTTCGGGTAATTTCTTGTTCAAAAGCATTGGAAACTAGATTTTCTTTCTTTGTTCTGCTACGTTAGACGTTGTCTTTCTTCTCTGGCTACATATTCGCATGTTGTGAGAACGGGAGTACCGAAGGCTCATGTGGGAAGAAAAAACCGTGCTTTGATTCAGACTCCTTTCCTTCTTATAGTTCTGGGAACTGTGGGCCTCGGGGGACTAAACGCCACAAGGTAACCAACAGCAAGATGAACAATGCCCTTCTCACAATCCATTCCTCCCCTGAAACAAGACCTCGAACTGGGAATTATACTGTTCTTTCATTTTTTGTATCGATATGGAAGCTTCAATTTATATGAGCCTTGTGTATCGGAATCACACAAATTTGGGTAATATCATTATACCTTTGACCTTAATCTGTTTAAATGTTTGGTTGAGTGTAATAAGCATGCATTGATCACCTATTCAGTTGGGCACATTGATTCATTTGGTTTACAAGCTTATTCGTTTGAATCCTCCCCTGCTGCATGAACATTAATGATTTGGGTTAAATCTGGTTTTTGACATTCCAGTTTTGATTCTTATTCGCATGATTCTTTTTTTTTTTTTTAGTTCCAGAAATTTGCCTTTATGAGATTTCAAATTGGTTCCCTAAAAAATGAAAGCATAGCAAAAACATAAATTACCATAAACAACGTTTGGAGAGACAGAGAGGACTAGGGATGGCAAACGGGTACCGTTTCATGGATTCCGTACCGCATCTGCTCCAATTGGAGCGGGGATGGGTATAATTTTAGCGGGTAGTGGACGGGTGTGGATTTATAAAGTGGTACCCGTCGTGGGTGGTGGGCGGGTAATGGGTTTGAGACATTACCCGTCCCGCATCCGCTCGCCCAGCTAAATATCTATTAAATTTTAGACCATTATAAATTTAGATTTAATTTTAGAGACTAATTTATAAATTTTAATATTGTATAATATATAACATATAATTTAACTAAATATTAAGGATATTTAATCTTTAATTTGGTCTTTAATTAGAGAAATATTCGGCTCTTTGATTAAACCCATAATCCCACTAACCACGTCACTTTCCATGTTCTTTAGCCCATGCTGCCCATCCAAACACAAATTAGCCGTACTATATGCATTAACATCAAAAGCAGCAGTTTCCATGTTCTTTAGCCCCTCAAAACCCATATTAGGCGCACTATGAGCATTAACATCGAAAGCAACTCAACAATCCAGCTCTGCGACTACATGCTCCCTACAATTTGTCTCCATAACATTCGTAGAGCCACTCCTCTAACAAATTGAAGCATGCGTTGCTACCCCATCAGGAACTGTCTGGGAACCAACTCCAACATCCCATTAGTTTGCTGTCAGGCGGGTCTAGATGGGTATGTCGCTAGTGGGTGTGGGGATGGATTTGAAAATGTACCCGCGTGGGAGGGTGTGGATTTGAAAATTTGTACCCATCATGGGTGGTGGGCGGGTGGTGGATTGAAAAATATTAGGTGAGTATGGGGATGGGGGAGGGGGTATCCGCACCCGACCCGCCCGTTTGCCATCCCTAGAGAGGACCAGGAGACGGTAATGACAAAAAGATCCAGGGAGAGAGAGAAAGACATCTTGTTCCAAAACTAATTGGTACTGTAATGCTATTATATTTTTTATCTAATGACACATTTTAATACATGAATTATCAGTTTTGATCTATTTTAGTATTTAAATTTTTATTTTTAAAAAAATCATATTTAAAGTTTAACTTTTGTAAAAAAAAATTTAGTTTTTGTTTTAGTTTAGTACCCGTTCAAAATTTAATATTAAGTTTTGAACAAATTAAAAAAATTAAGTATTAAAACAGACTAAAATAGATAGTTTAGATACTAAACGCGTTAAATTTTTAATTACGGAGTATTAAAATGAAATAAAAATTAAATATTAGGTATGATTTTGAGAGAAAAAATAAGAGCTTAAATACTAAAATTGATAGTTTATGTACAAAAATGTATAGTTTTACCTTAAATATTATAATGATTATAATATATAACTTGAATATCATTTTTAAGGATACATTTTTATTTACTATATGTTTTTGTATAACATATTTCAATTTATATATTAATGTTAATCAATCATGTTTGATTGGCATGAATCAATTTACTTCGTGGTTAAATGAATTTTTTTTGTTCTTAGAGGTCACGAGTTTTTAATATCAGTGACTATAGCATGATGATTGAGCGTACATTGTCAAACTGTTTATTTTTTCCTTATATTTTTTTTTGTTATAAATTCTAGATCTATTAGAAATATTCTCCTTTTTTTAGGGTCTTCCTTCCCCTCCTCTTTAAGTAAGACTAAAATTAAAGGAATTATTTTTGTTCTTAGAGGTCACAAGTTTTTTATATCAGTGATTATAGCAGAGTGATTGAGCGTTCATTGTCAAGCTGTTTATTTTTTTTCCTTATATTTTTTTGTTATAAAGTATATATCAATTAGAAATATTCTCCTTTTTCTTAGGGTTTTCCTTCCTCTCCTCTTTAAGTAAGACTAAAATTAAATTTAAATTTCGTGAAAATTGATAAACTAATTTTATGCATTTAACATCATTTGATAGTAATCATTTTCCCTCTATCTTTTTGGTATGTCTTTTTGTATAGCAAGTTTACTTTTTCATCCCTTTCTTCTCTTCTTTAAAATTTGATTTCTACGTTTGTTTCTTTATTTTTTATGGCGAAAGATGAGGATGATAATGGAACTATTTGTAAAAGGTTGTCTATGATAATGTTCGATTTGAATATGAATATTTCATTAGTTATTGAAATAACTCAATAAATAAGATTTTGTTAAAATAAGTGAAGCTATTTTGTGCAAAGGCAAACAAATCTATTTACATGCTTTGTTTTATTAAAATAAGCAATTTAATACAAAAAGATGATAATTGAGTGATCAAATTCAAACATACGATAATATGAAAAAAAAAATAGGATTAGCTTATCCAATTAAAATAGAGAGATTAAATTTCAAACTTGAGAAACGTTGAGGGATCAAATTCAGATTTTGGCCTTTAGTATCCTAAATTTTCATTTTTGACCTTTTAACATCTATCGTGTGATGATATCGTCCATGCAGCCGCTGCTTCTAGAAATCTCCGAGCCAGGATCGATTTAGGGTCCGGCTAATCTTCACTTTCACAAAGGCATCTCCTCCCCAGGTCAGCTATTTCTTCGTTTTCATTTCAAATGATTTGAGATTCATTTAGCTTTTTGTTCTTTTGAGTACGAATAATCTAGACTATTGAGGGTGAAACTTTGGTTTATAAGGTGGTTCGGTTCCCCTCGTCTTTTCTGCGCTTTTTTAAACATCCAAGAAACATGGCATTATATTCCTTCTCTTCTGCTCGCTTTTGCTCTTCCAAATTCCCAATCTGTTTCCATCTACCAAAACCCTCAAAATTTCCATTCTTTTCCAACAGATCCATCTCTTTCCAAAAGGTCCCTACTAAATCCCCTCCTCCGCTTCAATCTAGCTCCACCCAGCTCCAACCCATGGAAGAATTCCCTCCTAAGCTCCAAGAAATCATCAAGCTTTTCCAATCAGTCGAAGAACCCAAGGCCAAGTACGAGCAGCTGATGTTTTATGGCAAAAACTTGAATCCCCTCGATACCCAGTTCAAAACTAAGGAGAACAAAGTCGAGGGATGTGTTTCTCAGGTCTGGGTCAGGGCTTATCTTGACGAAGACAAGAATGTTTTCTATCAAGCTGATTCTGATTCTGTTTTAACCAAAGGGCTCGCTGCTTTGCTTGTTAATGGATTGTCCGGAAGGCCTGCCAAGGAAGTTTTGAGGGTTTCTCCTGATTTTGCAGTGCTTCTCGGGCTGCAACAGAGCTTAACACCTTCAAGGAATAATGGGTTTTTGAACATGTTGAAGTTGATGCAAAGGAAGGCGCTCGAGTTGCTTATTGAAGCTGAGAAGGGTGGTGGATCTTCGGGTAATGGTCAGATTGTGAATGATGACAGTGAAAAACCTGTTGAGAACACAAATTCGGATTCGAAAGTCGATGAGAACTCACGTGTTGGATTTGATTCTGGAAAAAGTAACGAAGATAGTTGGAGTGGTTTGGGAGGTAGAGGAACGAGAATCAAGGAGAAGCTGGAGAGGGAACTTAGTCCAATTGAATTGGAAGTGGAGGATGTTTCTTATCAGCACGCTGGACATGCTGGTGTGAGGGGAAGTGATGGGGAAACACATTTTAATGTCAGGATTGTGTCCAAGGAATTTGAAGGCAAGAGTTTGGTGAAAAGGCATAGGTTAATTTATGGCTTGTTAGATGAGGAGTTGCAGACTGGACTGCACGCCTTGTCTATAGTGGCAAAGACACCATCTGAAGTTGAAGCAAATTGAAGAGATGTTCCATGACTAGAGAAAAAGTTAGGTTCTTTTTTAATACATTTTGATATGCTTCTCTTTGGAAGTTTTCCAAAGGTGCTTGATTGAGAAATGGGATTATTGCATCTTGGATTTTTTGACAATGCATTAATTTGTCTCATGTTGGTTGATTTCAACGATGTACCCAATAAAGATGTTTCTATATTCATGGCATATTTTCTTTTTTCACTCGGTGCTTTCTTGTAATCCCAAGCAGTAGGGAGGGGCAAAATATTGTGGTGAAAATAATTGATTTTATAACCTGTATCTTGATTGCTACAATAATCAGAGGGTCGCGGTGTTTTTTGAAAAATGTGTTGATTGCAAGGTAAATTTTGGAAAACGTGCTGACTGTACGATAACTTCCCCATGCTACTTACGTTAGTCCTAATAAGATCCTCGGTGCAATTCAGAAGTAGAAAATTCCAATAATCGCGGTTCTTTCTAGAAATCATCGTGTAGTCCTAATAAGATCCTCGGTTACTATAGTAATCTCCTTAGATCATAAATTAATTTTCGGGACACAATATTCAAGCAATTATTAAACGAAGGTTAAGATTAAATTTACATAAAAAAATACATGTTGGAAGACCATGAACGTACATGCAAGGAGAAAAAAAGAACAACTCACGTTATGAACAAATCGAATACAGAGCACATATGTAGAATTTCCAATAAACAAACTATCACCTCCTTCTAATTGTGCCCTCATTGTATACTTTGGATGGTTGAATGTGTGAAGACTACCGCACGCACAGGCAAACAGAAATACAACGAGTGAGGGAGTTTGTGCGTGTATGATATATGAGAGAGAGAGAGAGAGATAGATAGAGAGAGAGAGAGAGAGAGAGACGTATGACATTATGTGCTTGGTGTTTCGGCACCAGGTCCAGGCCGGGCGTTTAGCAGGGGCTGAAGAGCTTTGACAACGATGCTCATATTTGGCCGAAAATCAGCTTCATATTGCACACACAATGCAGCAACAGCAGCCATCTGCGATCAAACAATAAAATGCTTTTAGGCACAGATGACATTTTACATTTAGTGAGGGCAGCAAGCAACCCCGGAAAGTTTCGATGTTAAGGTTCTAAAACAATGATGTATCTATGCAAGTAAAAATGTATTTGGATAGATGCAACTTCCAAATTTTACTGTCACTTGAAGAAATGTTAACAGAGAAAATGGAATAATAATGAGATAATACCAGGAGCACCCAATCATAATAATACCTTGGCAACAGCCTTGGGAGGATAATCTCCTCCTAGTCTTTGATCAATACACTGCCTAACCTTGTCTTCACTGAGTCTCGGTGTAGCCTAACATAATTCCAAACTCTCTTGGTCATCATGTCTGAAAAGTTTGAGAATGGAAGTCGGGTCGGATATTAGAAAATAAGGATCAGAAAAATGTACCCAGGTAACGAGACTTTGCTGTCCACGAGGTAAAGTATGATCAACAGGTTTTCTCCCAGTAAGAAGTTCAAGCAGAACAACACCAAAGCTGTATACATCACTCTTGGCATTTAATTGCCCAGTCATTGCATATCTGCCAACCACGAGAACACAACGGTCATTTTGAAGGCATTTTATTGTCCAGTCACAACATATCTCAGTAATGAAATGAGAAATTAAGCTAGTTTAGGTTCCATCAAGCAATTCATGAATTTTACAAACCGTCTTAAACCACGTCTTATCATAAAAAAATAGATCTTAGCATGAAAAGAATCCACAATTACTTACTCAGGAGCATGATAACCAAAGGTTCCAAGTACACGAGTGGAATGAAGACGGGATGCCATATCAGGAGCCTGATTTGATAAATCAAAGTCCGCAATCTTTGCCACATCACCATCAAATATTAGCACATTGCTGGACTTAATGTCACGATGAATGATGTGAGGATTGGCCTTATCGTGCAAGTATTCAAGCCCTCTTGCAGCTGCTACAGCAACTTTTACTCTTTGTGCCCATGTCAGAACAGGGCCAGGCTGAGCTCCCTTAACACCTTTTCTCCCTACATTAAAGGAATCTTAATGCTCTCTTCTAAAAAAAAAAAGGTGGGGGGGGGAGATTTTTTTTTTGTAATATTAACAGCACCACAAGCAAATATAACCAAATAAAGACTTTGCATCCATTTCTATAACAGCATTACAAATAGATCCATGCTTCAGGCATCATTACAATCAATGGTTTTCAACTTTATATAACTGGACTAACAAATGAAGAATCATCACACATACCATGGAGAATATCATGCAGCGATCCATTTGATGCAAACTCATAGGCAAGTATGCGGGAACTCCCATCAACACAGTAGCCAAGCAATTGAACAAAGTTTTCATGTTTCAACCTTGATACCATAGAAACCTGAAAACCATGCACCAGTGGATATAATATGAAACTCTAAAGCTAATATCAAGAAGCAGTAAATGAAATGAATTATAGCTGACAATTGAACCTGGGACAAAAACTCATCATCAGGTTGCTTGCTGGCGTCTAATTTTTTTATTGCTGCAGCCTGCCCACTTTTAAGGACTCCATAATAAACTCTGCCGTAGGAACCTTCTCCAATCAAAGAATTAGTACCGTAGTCATCTGTGATTTCTTTCAATTCATCTGCTGGAATAGTAGGGACTTCAATAGGCTGAACCTTCACAGTTTGAGCACTCTTTGATGCAGTTTCAGATGTATGGTAACCTCCATCATTTCCTGATTGGTCAAATTCAACCCAGATTAAAGCAATAGATTCAGTACAGCCAAAATAAAGCATAGGCAACTATAAATTGCAAAAGATAACTATACAAATAAACATGTAATTTGTGTAAGTGGTACATTAAATTAGGATGGATTATAACATACACACATATAAATTCTGCAAAAGCATAGAAATAAAACTAATAAACAGATAAAAACCAAACTCTGACTGATGATGGGCATAAGCTTCACAAGAGTAAGCCATCCTACTTATAGTAGTTCACTATATTGATGATGCAAAAATACTCAAATGAAATTCACGAAAATGAAATATTATCAGCTTTGGTGTGAATTTCAACAACAGAATTACCTGCTGCTTGTTTAACAATATATTGGCCTCCATTATCAGAGGTTTTACGCATATCATCCTCTTCACAACAGCCAAAGCAACTCATGGTTCCCCTTGAGAATAATCTCTAATTTGCAAGATCCAAATATAGGAATTCAAAGAAGCATAAGAGTGAGTACAAATATAAAAATAATTCACATTTTTGTTAACTACAGAAAGATTGGCTTAGCTAGCACTAAATTTTGTGAACATTGCAGGTATAGAAACTGAAAGACAACAAAAATGCAAATAGTCAGAGCACAAATATATTTGGTTAAATAGATGAAATGCATTTGCGTTTGCCATCATCTGTAGATTTGACGTCCACACATTAGAGAACTGGAAGTCCCTTCATCATGTCCACATGAGGCATTTTTCTAGTTTTGTAAACCAGACAACATATCTTGTCATCTAATTTTTCCCCTTAAATCCAAATAACATGCTACACGGTAGATTGTCATTTCTAGCGCATAATGAAGATTTCCATCCAATATTGAATGTGGCATGAGAAATAACCCTAACCCCCCCCCCAAAAAAAAAAAATCCACGAATGCATACGAGATCAATTCCATAAATTCATGAAATATCAGTATTTCATTCTTAGACATAACATTCCCCATGAAATCAGAGGTAGAGAAGTCAAAGCTTTCATTGGATTATCTAAATGCAGCCTGGCAAGCGCAAACATCAAAAGTAATCACAAGGAAAAAAATGCTCACAATCCACTTGAAATTGCACATGCAGGACATTTATTTCAGTACCCAACAACTTTTTGTAAAACGAAAATGAACAAATCTACAAAAACACCGACTTTACACACCTAAAAGTTTCCAGAACAAAATTCAGTTCAAGCTGAAAATCGACGTAGGATCAGAAATTCTACTCAATAGACTCTCCCCCATTAAAAAGACGCGCAGTTCTCCAAGTTAAATCTTATTATCAGTAAAACTTCAACCACTCACCAAACGTATTTAGCTTATAAGCTTACACATAAAAGCACAGTCAAAGTCCACATTCAACAACCTTTTTTCCTGATCAGAGTTTTCAAAATTCAAACAGTTCCGTGAATTACATCGATCCGAGTGCATGCATACTATTAGCATCCAAAACTCAAGTGAACAATCAAAGAGGATGCACAAAAAATCAACAAAAAGAAAATAGAAAGAATCACCTGAAATTAGGGCAGATGAAGTGGAGCAAGAGATCAGTTCAATAATAGGCTATGCGCAGCAGACGAGCTTAAGATCTGAGACGGTGAAGCCAGAGAAAGGTACTTAGCTTAAGAGAACCGGGAGCGCGTAGGATAAAAGGAAAAAAAAATCCTTTATAGGTTGTTAAGCTCCCTTGGATTGTATTTGAATTTATTTCTTTTTCCTTTTGACGTAATTTTTATATTTTTACTTTGTTTAGTTTTTTCTTTTAGTTGTGAGCAGCCAGACTTGATTTCCAATTTCCCGTGTTGTACTTGTCATTGAATTCGGACTGATTCAAAGCCCACCGAGTTGGGTTACGTGGCTGTTTCTAGTTGGATTGAACTATAAGAAAATTAAAGATCAATGCCATTGCCATGTCAACTCACACGAGCTGGAACTTGTCTAATAACTATTAATCCATCATTTCTCAGTATTTTACTTACATTGACGATGTCTTCGCTACCGCTTAAATTAAAAAGAATGAACTGTTAACAATCGACGCAACCCACTCGTTCCACCAACCTGCAATAAAAAGCTATGATTTCCCTTTTTTTAGTTACAACAATTGTTACATTTTGATCCTTTACTATAAACATAAAATTAAATCAACTTAAATTAAAATATATTATAATATTCCAACATGAAAAATGTTACAGCAGTCAAAGCACAACTTCAACAATAATAATAACCGAAACCCTTGCAATCATTTCTCATACTAGAACTAGTACTTAAGCTTATTGATCATAAAAAGTTATTGGATACTGAACTTTATTTCCAATAAATTTCCTGCATGTGCAATTTCAAGTGGATTGTGAGCATTTTTTTTCTTTTTGATTACTTTCTCGATACACGATAGTACGCTGACTAATTATGATCGGAAGAACTGAAAGCAAGTTGCTTGCTCCAATGGAAACCATGAAAACATATACTGATCCCATTATGTTGAACAAGTCCTGCTCATTGTTGCTTCATGAAAGATGATGACGGTTTCAGGCAAATGCCACATGTTTAAACTTTTATGGAAAACACCAAAAGGGAAAGAAAATTTTGGGGAAACATCTTACACTTTTTACCCTTTATCCCAAAGAAGCGCTCCATATACCAAAGAGAATACCATGACTAAAATCAAGCGCCCTAAGTTATATGTTGGGTTTCTCCAATAAGACAAATGTTGCTTCCATAGGCATGCTTTGAATTGCTCCCATCTATTTAGTGGAAAACGTGTAGTGAAACGTACTTCCTTTGAACCATGTGCTGCAACTCTCAACTCTTGGACTAGTTATTTGTTTCTCCTACTCAATATGTTATTCATAAGTTCTTACATATCTTCTTATTTTGAGGTGTGACTGCATATATCAATCATGGTGAACTTACTGATACAGACTGGATTGTTTGTAGAGATTGAAAAAGTCTACTCCAAGTTCAGCTTCAATAGAAGGATTTGTGACCTCTAATATCCACGTTGCTGGATTGTAGTTTTCTTTAATTTTCGGCACCCCTGCTATTCCCTGCTTAAAGTGTTTTGAAGCATTAGTTTCTTAGTCAATTGGAATGTATACGAGTCCATAATCTTCAAGATGTTACTTTGTATTACCTCAAAGTATTCAATAAGCTTACAAGAATTTTGACCAAGCTCTCCAGAATCTACTATTTGCCCTCCTTTCATCAAAATAATCTACATGATGTATTTATGATATGTGAAGCAGAATATCATAGTAACTAAGAAGGAAATGAACTATGGAACGTTGATGAATGCTTCACTCAGTTACCTTGTCAAATGCCTCAGTTATGTCGATGCTCGGTTGATGAATGGTACATACAACAGTCCTCTTAGTACTAACTATATTCTTCACCACTCGCTTGACAGTGGCAGCTGCTCTTGTATCTAAACCAAAGGTGGGTTCATCCATAAATATTATTGATGGATTAGCAACAAGCTCCATTGCTATTGTAAGTTGTTTCTGCTGCTCTAGTGATATACCACTAACACCACGTATGCCAACTAAAGAATCTTTGATTTCATCAAGCTCAATCATTAGAAGAAGCTCTTCCACAAATTTCTGTTAAATGCGAGAAATAGAGTGAGCCTTAATGTTTGTTATTTGTATAAAGTTGAAACACTCTTACCATTCTTTTATGCATAGGGGCATCTGGTGGTAGGCTTAACCAAGCTGAGTAAATTACTTATTCCTTTACTGTTATTTTGGGAGAGTGTATGTCAGTTTGCTCGCAATACCCTGATACTCTAGCATATGCCTTTTGGACTTTAGGGTACCCTCCAACTCTTATATCCCCTTTCATATACCCTTCAATTTTTCTTCCAGGCCTAAATGCACCAGAAATATCTTGAAGAACTCCAGCTCCACTGATTCTCTTACCAGCTCCACTGGCACCCATCAATCCTGTAAGAACTCCAGGCCTAAATGCACCAGAAATATCTTGAAGAAGATGTATCTTCTTATTCGAGACTTTCCCTCTAAATTTCTGGAAAAACAGACAAGAAAGTATGCTTTTTTTTCTTTACATCTTCAAAGTAATAAAAGGTTTTGCTGATAAATCAAATTGTTACCTTGGAAGTATCCATAAGGAATGCACATTCTCAAATGAAAGCGTTACCGGCACAAAAGGTAAAGCCATACTTGTAACTTCTGTTGTTACATGAACTCCAGACAATTGATTTTCCTGTATGGAATTACTCAAGTCTTCTTTTCTTTCCTTATAAGATACAACTCAGATGTCTCTTGGTCCCTGGAGCTGCGCCACAAACACAACTTAGAACTAGCAAGGATTAAATTCATCAATCAAGTTTTTTAATGCTTTTATCATTTTTGTTCTTTGTATTTGCATGATGTGAAACTTACACTTCAAAAAACTAGGTTCTAAGGTGAATAAAACATTAACAAGAATCCACATTCGGACATTCCTATCAAAGCAGAAACTGGTATCCAGTAAAAGTATTCACCGAAATCTAATCCACGAGCACGTAGTGCTTGATGGCCCAAAGTCACATTTGAAGATGAAACCTGAGAGACCAACAAATCAGTGTTGATGCTTTCATCGTTTAATTCATTTCATAAACAACCATACCTTTTTTACCTTTTGCCACTTGGGGGATAGAAATTCGTTTACTTAGTTTCCTACAACTGTATATGAGAGAGGGGAAGTCCAAAAGCACCATTTTATCCAAGGAGGCATTGATGCTGCTTCGAGATAACAGTCGAGTTATTATTATTACATGAATACTTTGAACAAATTGAAGTACTCATGCTAATTATTATAAGGTTGGCCTTACGTAAAGGTACTATGAAGCCACTGAATAAAAGTGTTGCCATCACTGTAAATTGACAAAAGATTGCAGCAACTGGAAGGGTTCGAATTATAGCAGTATTCAAACGAAAAGTTGATATTCCTACTTGATGGAAAAGGAACTGGATGAAAAGCTGATAGAAGAATCTGAAAGTAAAATTTGGGAATTATTAGAGATCATATTGAAAGTTTATATCTCTAACATAATAATAGGATATTCTCCTTAAAAAAACCTTTATGGTTTTGGACCGTAACCAACCCCATAATATATAAGAGATGTCCACATTAAAGTATCTAACAATGAAAATGGAATCCTTAAAATAGTTTAAGGAATTGAATAAGTCCATGCAGGATAGAAATATAAATCCCTTTGCTTGTAGAATATGCCAAGCTTGGAACTAGTAAGTGCCAACTCTGGAACTCCACTGGTCAGAACTCTAGAAAGACCGAAAAATAAGCAAGCCGTGTACTTTCTCAAATGGAACTCATCGATCTTCATCCGAGCTCGTCTAAACAGTGTCATAGTTACCAATGCCAATAAAACAAGCTGTAAACAAAAAAAATACCCAGGGCGTGTGAGAGTACATTGATTAGTAGTTCACAATCCGTGTTGATTCAAAAATTAAATCCTTACCTGTGCTGATCTGAAAACATACGAAAACAAGCTACGCTTGGTAAGAAACCATTCCCTTGCCAAGCATGCTTTGAATAATTCCCATTTCCCCAATGAATAGATATTAAACAACAATGCATTCTTGTGATCCTCGGCTTTTTCGATAGGTTTGTAGAGTTCCTCTTTTAGCACATGTCCTGCATGAAACTCCTTGCATGCATCTATGAATTTGTCTGTAGAAACATAGCTATAAGGTCGGTCCTTATGAATCCAATATTGTGCTTGTTCCTTTTGGGAGAGTGCCTATTATTAGATAAATTAACTTTAAACAATGTTCCAAAAACTCAATGCAACTATTGTCTTTTCTAATGAACATACATGGTGCATGAAGACAACAAGGCCTTTCCTTGGTGGGCACTTAAAGCCACAGTATTCAAAGAACTCGTGAACTTGACTCCGAGTTCCTTGGTATACAATCTTTCCTTTGTCCATTAGAATAATTTTGTCAAAGAGATCAAAGGTCTCCGGAGTTGGTTGAAGGAGAGAAATTAAAACTGTGGCCCCTCTTGTATGAGCCAACTGTTTTAGACATGTTACAATCTGGAAGGTGGTGGAGCTATCTAAGCCTGTTAATTTTCCATCCATAAAGAAGGCTTTGGTCGGACCAACCATCATTTCTCCTATTAAATTAGAAACATTAAGCAATTAGTTCAATAGTTTAATGTTCTAACTCACTTGGTATTGGCTAGAAATTTATCAGCAAGTGGTATTGGTTAGGAGCACAGAACCTATTCTGAGCCTTTTCATTTCCCCGCCAGAGATTCCACGGTTCATTGCATTTCCCACACTTGTATCAGCACAAATATCCAATCCTAGGATCTAAGAAATGGTACCAAAATCATTAGTGAAAAGGATATTAATTTGTGTACCTTTAATCAAGGGGAAATCACCTTTAATATATAGTCTGTCTGGAGTGTTCTCTCCAATCCTTCAACAGAAATCGCCTGCCACCATAGATTATTATTGTCTAAGATTGGAGCAATGGAATCTGAACCATTTTATTGCAAAAGAGAATCACCTTCATATAGGTGTCTATATCTGGTTCAGGGATGATCCCACGTAGCTTCTCGCGCCTACTGAGTTCTTTCAGAATATCTTCAAATCATAAACACATTGAATAATCAATAAAATTCA